ATCGGATGTGTGGCGGGCCGGAAGTGCAATATGCACATTAATAAAGCAGCATTTTTTTTTGACACTGTATAACAATAATTAATATTTTTACAGTACTGTGAGGGTTTAGGGTTGGGGTGGGGGTAGGCGTTAAAAATGCATTTTATTGGGTAATTTAATAGATAACATAACTAATACTCGGTGCAACTACAGTTTTTACATTACTGTGACGGTTGTGTTTAGGGTTGGGGTGGGGGTAGACGTTCATAAAATACAACAAATGAGAAATTTAATCATTAATAGAAATAATTCGCGTTAACTTTCGGCCGCAAACGTATCCACTCTAGCAACAACCACACTCTCACCAGTCCTTATTCTATCCTAGTTCTTATTTGCGTCTAATACCCCAGTTTGTCAAGGGTGCATGAATAAAATGGTCATGAGTTAAAGTGAAACTGCCGAACCCGGGCTCATTCTGAAAACGTAGTCCCATGGACGTTTTTGGACACCGTGAAATACTTCCTGGGAGGTACCTATTTTTGCAGTTTTTTGTTTTCGCGAATCCGCGAGAAGCCACTTTGTGCTTTTTTGCATCTCAAATGTCTCTTGCAAATACCCATCCATCCATCCATCTATCTATCTACCACCCATCCTAAATATCAATCCATCCATCCATGCTAAATATCAATTCATCTATCTATCCATCCTAAATGTCAATTCATCCATACATCCATTCATCTATCTTGAATTGGTCATGTGGTTTTCTACAGGTAATTGTTTTGCTTTGTAATGGTGGCATGCCTAAAATCAGTAAAACTTTATAGAATAGGACCTCAAAACACACCAGTAACCATTAACCAAAACCAAATTTGGAACTTTTATTTTTGAAACTCAGAATAATAGCAGTATGGTCTTTGGCATGAGTTGACTTTAAGACTAATAATAGTTTGTCCATGAATCCTTCATTCTAGTAACACAATTTTACAGAAGTCTGTTTTCCAGAACTTACTTCTAGTTACAAGAAACAAACTGACTAGGATGTTTTGGTGAGTCACAGGAGAGTTCTGATGTGGTTGTCATCTGAACACTGATCTGATCATTGCCAGTAAAGGCATCTCATAACCATTTGGTTTAGTGGTGGGTGGGCATCAAGTTAAAGCTATCTTGGGATGCAATTAGTTACACTGCAAAAAAATGCTTTTCTTGCTTAGATTTTTTGTATTGTTTCTAGTCTAAATATCTAAAATTTCTTATATCAAGAAGCATTTTCTAGACAAGCAAAACATATTGTCTTGTTTTGAGAAATAAAATGCCAATATTAATTAATTTTTCTCTAAAACAAGCAAAATACTCTACCAATGGGGTGAGCAAATTAATCTTGTTTTTTCTTTTGACGTAAGATTATTTTGCTTACCCCATTGGCAGATTATTTTGCTTGTTTTAAGGAAAATCCCACCTATTTTTGGCATATTATTTTTGAAAACAAGACTATATGTTTTTCTTGTCTAGAAAATGCTTCTTGATTTAGGAATTGTAAGATATTTGGACTAGAAACAAGACAAAAATCTAAGTAAGAAAAGCATTTTTTGCAGTGTAGTAGATCTTAACCTGAGCTGCATGTTTATTTGGTCTAAATTAATTTAACGATGCTATAGAATGCATTCATACATTATGCTCAAACTGTTCTGTGATATAGATGGTATATGGCTTAGGTAAGTGGAAAAATATCTCCAGAAATTATTTTAAAAGCTAATATAGACCCCAAAAAGTAGGTCCTAAAATGCAAAGTCTGATTTTACCTTATTTGGAAGGGTCATGAATATTAATGAGCTCTGCTCTCTTACATGTGTGAGCCACTTTGGGTTTAGACCCAGATTACATTACCAACTGTGGCACACATTTGTCCTCTATCATTTGGGCCAAATTTATAATTTTCCACATGGGCTCACATTCAGATTACATTTTGCCATAAGTGGCAAATATTTGCCTTAAATGGCCCATATATGAATTAGAACCTTTGACCGCCCTTTGCCATTGTTCAGGTGGGCCACTTCAGGCTCACATTCATTTTGTGGGCCGAAGGAATACCACCAGTGCCGCATAACTGCCTAAAGTGGCCCACATTCGTATGCTATTTGGGTATCCTATAGTCAAGGATTTGTTTACCTGCTTCATATGCAAAGTGTTGGGCAGAGCTTAACAGGCAGGTGTTATTCGATATTCTGCAAAGGAGGTCTTTGGAAAAAAAACAGCACATTACTAAACCGGTCATTTTTGGCAGATCGGCTTTGATATTTTTACTCAAATGAGAAAGTTTTGAGTTCTAAAACTTGATGTCTGATGATGCACCAGATGTTTTATAAGACAGAAAATCAAGCAAATTTAAATTTTCCAGTTCATTAACACTTTAAATGCCCTCATACGCTTGATATATCCAGATTTCATTTGATGAAATGAACATATTTTCCCACACTCAAAATGCTTGAAAAACTGAAACTAATCTCTTAACTATAGGAAGCACTAAGATACCTTTAAAAAAAAAAACTAACTATTTCGTACCTAAAGGATATAATTTAAATCGGATTTAAAGTTGCTCACTCTTTTTATTACCAATCTTAAGCTACCAAGCCAGTAACAATACCTCATAAAGCCTATTTGTCAGTTTTATTGTATATAGAGAAGCATTGGTTTCATGGAGATCGTCCAAACATATGTCAGAACCGTTGTCTGAGACAGCTGGAGAACAAGATCAACAAGTTGAGCAATAAACGGAGACATGGTGCAAGAGGTATATAATCTGGCATGAAAAGCTAGTTTTTCCAGACAGGAGGTGAAGCTTCAAAATCACACATTGGTGTTTTAAAATGTCTTATATTCTGAAAATCTATTTGCGATTGTGGGTACCACTGTTAAAGTGTAAAGAAGATAGCAATGTCTTTAGTCAGACTCACAAATCATATTGATATTAAGCTGGAATTAATGCTACATTTATTTTAGCACTTTTCAAACTTACCAGAATTAATGAAGGTAATACTTTTGTTTTTGGAATAGGCTCATTTTACAAGTCCCCTACAGGTAAACAGTTGAGTTTTAACATTCAGCCAGACTCAGCGGCAACACTTTTAGCTTAGCTTAGCATAAATTATTGAATCGGATTAGACCATTAGCCTCTTGCTCAAACAATAATAAAAAAGAGATTTTCCTATTTACAGTTTGACTCTTCAGTAGTTATACAGTGTAAGTTTCTATTATCTTGATTTATACAGTATGGCTATAGGAACTATACTCTCATTCTGACGTAATAATCAAGAATCTTTGCTGCAGCATGCACAATGATCTTACGCAGCTAGCTACCTAACTGGAGATCCAGCTGCAGCGATGGTATGATATATACATTTTATATAACTCCAGAATGAGATTATACACTCACCGGCCACTTTATTAGGTACACCTTTCCAACTGCTCAATAACACAAATTTCTAATCAGCCAATTACATGGGTGCAACTCATTTTGTTGGTATTTTCTTGGCACACTTTGGGTCAATTAGTACCAATTGAGCATCGGTTTCAACGTCACAGCCTACATGAGTATAGACCACAGTATACCCATCTTCTGATGGCTACTGCCAGCAGGATAACGCACCATGTCATAAAGTGCAGATCATCTCAGACTAGTTTCTTGAACGTGACAATGAGTTCACTGTACTAAAATGGCCTCCACAGTCACCAGATCTCAATCCAATAGAGCACCTTTGGGGTGTGTTGGAACAGGAGATACATGTCAATTTGGACCAAAATCTGTAAGAAAAATTTCCAGTACCTTGTTGAATCTATGCCACGAAGGATTAAGGCAGGCAAAAGGGGGTCCAACACGGTACTAGTAAGGTGCACCAAATAAAGTGGCCGGTGAGTGTAGTTTCTAACAATATCAACCTAGAAAATAGTAACTTTTAATAGTCTCAAAACACAATTTGACTACAGAATCATCACACTTAAAAAAATTCTTAAAGTTTTTTAAGTGATATGCTAACGGTCTAATCGGATTCAATGAACTATGCTAAGCTAAGCTAAAAGTGCTCACTCCAGACTTAAGAGTTCGGCTAAATGAATTAAAAAATGGTAAAACTGTTTAACCCTACTAGACTAAAACATGCATCACTTGAAGACACATTACTAGTTTTGTTTCCCCATATTGTTTTCGGGGTATGCATAAATCACCAGAAAGACATGAAACTGTAAAATTACAAAGTTTATTGATTTACAAGTTTGATTCAGTTTGTGCTGCAATCAGAAAATAAAATAAAATCATTACAAAACATTCTTTAAACATCTTTCATTACAATGCTTTAGTGTCTGAAATGTACTATACTAGTGTCAATTTACAAAATGTTCAACTTGTACATACCCAAGTCTCAGATTCAATAAAATTACAACCATACAGGTATGTCGTATATAGTCTATAATTCTAAATAACGACATAAAATATGTACAGCTTCGGTAAATATATTAAACACTTTTACTCTATGATTTCCCCAACAGAATAAATTAAAGCTGAAGCACCGCTCTACAACACAGTTGCTCAGTAGCTTTGTGAAAAGGTTTGATTAGATCATATAAAGTATAAGGATTTCCAAACGTTGTGTTTTCCAATTATTCAGTTTTACAAAAAGTGCATTAGTAAAGGTCAAAATTACAGCATGTGTACCTACAGCTCAACATTGTCAGGAGTTGTCTATCAAACGTCCACTTTTCTAATAAAAATAGACGAATCTAAAGATCATTCTCTAAATATTCTTTAAAATAACAGTAAAACGTTTAAAGAAATGTTATGTCATTTTTTTTGTCCGCTTATCCGGGGCCAGGTTGCAGGGGCAGCAGTCTTAGGAGAGAACTCCAGACTTCGCTCTCCCCAGACACTTCCCAGGCCAGCAAAGAGACATAGTCCCTCCAGCGTGTCCTGGGTCTTCCCTGAGGCCTCCTCCCGGTGGGACATGCCTGGAACACCTCCCTAGGTAGGCATCCTGGAGGCATCTGAAACAGATGCCCAAGCCACCTCAGCTGACTTCTCTCGATGTGGAGGAGCAGCAGCTCTATTTTGAGCTCCTCCTGGGTGACAGAGCTCTTCACCCTGTCTACAAGGGTGCGCCCTGCCAACCTGCGAAGGAAACTCATTTCAGCCGCTTGTATCCAAGATCTTGTCCTTTCGGTTATGACCCAAAGCTCATGGCCATAGGTGAGAGTAGGAACGTAGATTGACTTGTAAATCGAGAGCTTTGGCTTTCGGCTCAGCTCCTTCTTTACCACAACAGACCGATACATCGATCCCATTAGTGCTGCCGCTGCACCAATACACCTGTCAATCTCATGTTCCATCCTTCCCTCACGCATGAACAAAACCCCAAGATACTTGAACTCCTCCACCTGGGGTAAGGAATTTTCTCCAACCTGCCCCAAACCAGCTTTTTCCGGTGGAGCACCATGGCCTCGGACTTGGAGGTGATGATTTATTAACGAAATGCCCTTAAAATAATTTTTTTACATTTAAAAAATAATCCTTCAGCATCCAATTTACCACTTAGTGTTCTTTTAAAATAATAATAATAATATTAATAATAATAAACACAAATAGTAAGCTGCTGTAATTGGCAGGTGGATACAAAAATGCAGCCCACCAACTTTATACTCTGATGCAACAGAAAATACCTGCATAATATATTCAGGTATAATACTGATATAAAGTATAGAAGTCAGGCAGACGCATGAAAAAAAAATCATTACTTGTCAGCAGCTGGACATAAACTCCTGGATATCTAAGTTAATTAGTATTGGCACGGATGTGAAGCAGCATATCACTATAAATAAAGAAGGCTGTGATGGCTGTTGCAACAGCGTTAGCATTAATACTACCACTCAGATTTGGCGATGAGTTTGTGAAAACCCAAATGGTGATCCCAGTTGAAGGTTTAGTGCCCGTAAGAGAGGGGTGATGTTGCTTGAATGGTGCCAAGTCTCCCGTTCACTTGCCTTCTTGTCTGTGTGACAGGGACCTGTGTAAATAAAAGCATCAAGTTGTTAAATATGCGTCACTTATTCAAGACACATTCTTTGTGTTTTCATTGTAACAGTTGAAAGAATTCTGGCCCAGATTTGGCATAAAGCTGGCACAGCAGGCATTCGTCCGGCACTGGCATACAGCATGTGGGCCAAACATGGCCCAGGTTTGGCTGAGGTAGCACTGTCTTACAGGCGGCACTCAATACTTGGCCCAGATTTCAAATGTAGTTGTTACGGTCCATGGGAGTTTGTATTTTTGTGCCTTCTCCCTCTCTGTTTTGCTTGTCTCCCTTCGCATCTCCTTGTCTGTCATTCGCTCTTTGTCTCGTCCTATCACCTTTTGTTCCGCTACTTTTTCTCTGCTAGGTACCTGCTGATTGGATCCCGAGCCTGTCACTCCTCATTAGGGCGTTTCCTCGTGGACCAATTGGACTTCGTTCCGCGGGCTTTAAATTCGGCCGGCACGCCTTGTTTTTCAGAGTGCTATGTGTGTGTGTGTGTGTTGGTTTGTGTTCGCTCGCTGCTGTTCATAATGTATGCTTTGTTCTGTGTTTCTGAATAATTACATCGATGTAAATTAGGTCATGGTTAAAGAGTTTATCATTCCTTTTTGGGGAAAAGGGAATAGTTTACTAAGTCGCGCGACATACATTTTGCCCGTAGGTAACTCCAATATTCAGAAACACTAGGTTAGTGGGTGAGCGCCGCATTTTGTATTTTTGCTTATTATTTCAGGGAGTTTAGGTGTGGCGTCACAAACGCTGAAGATTTCGGTTTCTTTTTCACATTTAGATTTTTATTAATAAGTTTAGAGGGGGATCTTGTGTTCTAGTTTAGGTGGCTTTTGGTTTTGTTTAGTTCTTTGCTTTGGCGCCACTCTAGTTCCTTTTTCCCCTAAAACTTTTGATTGTATTTCTTTTTTTTTTTTTTATTATTATTATATATACATTTTACAAAGCGCACACATGTAAGCCTCTCTTTTGTTGGCCTCATTTTTCTTCTCCTCGTAAGAGGAATAAACGAATTGATCGTAAATTTTGTGTCCTGGTGTATTTTCCATCCATCTACTCAGTAATAATTTAATATTGTAAGTGTTACGTTTATTTTCCCTAGACAACTTAATTAAACCGTAACAGTAGTATTTGGCCCAGATGTTAACAATGTGTATGTGGGCCACGTAAGTTTGGCCTATCTTGACCCACTTTTAAAATAAATTGAAATTATTGTTGAGTACAGAAAAAATCCTATTAATCAGGTCGCTTCAAGAAAAAGCACAGCCATACAAGCCAAATGCTTCAAGGGTTTATAAAAACATTGCAGTCGTGACACACCAACATATGTGGTCCAGTTCAGGCCCAGATATGGGTTATTAACTTAGCTGAGACTTGGCCCAGATATGGTCTATGTTTGCCTCTTGTATGGAAGCCAGACATGGTTCAGTCATGTACCGTAATACACTGCGGCATGTGGGCCAAACAAACACTGATGGTGAGGGCCAAAGAAATTTTGCTATAGAGGATGAATGTACAGTTAGAAGATGGGTAAAATGTAAAATGTACTCACACAGCAAAATTTCTGTGGCCCAGCTCTGGCCTACTCAATCAGCTGTTGCTTGGCCCACGTCGCAGTGAATTACAGTACATGACTAGACTAAGTCTGACTTCCATATGAGGGCCAAACATGGACCATATCTGGGCCTAGTCTCAGCCAAGTTAATAACCCATAACTCAGCCTGAACTGGGCCAGCTATGGAACGTGTTTGGTCGTTATTTGGTGTGTCACGACTGCAATGAAATTGATAAATCCATGAAGCATTGCACCTTAGGCAAGTTAATAATGGTAATGGTTTGTAATGGTTAATAATAGTATAATTTGTAAAATAATAATTTGGTTAATAAATTGTATGTAATGCAGGTAATGTTGCCTGGATTAAAATGAAGGCATTAGAAGATGCAAACAGGAAGATGGTAATGACTTTGTGCATCAAAATATTTCTTTACTCTAAAAATAATTGGAATATAGTTTAAAAGTGGGTCAAGATAGGCCAAAACTTACGTGGCCCACATATTAATTTTTACAATTGGGACAAATACTACATTTGTCATCTGGCCCATGTCTTGCGTGCCGCCTTATAGACGGTCCCACCTCTGTCAAACCTGGGCCATGTTAGCCCACATGCTGTATGCCAAAGACGGATGAATGCCTGCTGTGCTAGCTTTATGACAAATCTAATCTAAAATTTGTTGATACCCAGGTAGTTTATTGCTACCAGTGTGGGCATGTTTACATCAGGTCACTTCATGCCGTTTCTCTGATTGAATGATAACTATCTGAATTGTAAAACAATGTTATAATAGTTTTGGATTTTTTTTTTAGTTTTACTTTTTTATTTGGTTTTGACTTTTTGTTTTTAAATTCAGTTAGTTTTAATTAGCTTATACGGGGAGATTTACTAGTTTATATTAGTTTTTATATTTTGAAGTTGCTTAGTTTTTGTTTAGTTTTTATTAGTTTCTGTTTTTTTGTAAATTAGGATATTTCTTAGGTGCAGGATTTAAAATCCTCAGAATAAATATTGTATAATAAAAACTCAACCAAAGGTAGGCTACTTTTTTTTCACACAAGAACACTACCATCTACTTATCCTCAAATTCAAATACAAATACAACAGCCCACAAGATTCATTCATTAATTTTCTTGTCGGCTTAGTCCCTTTATTAATCCGGGGTCGCCACAGCGGAATAAACCGCCGCCCACAAGATTGCCTCAAGTAAAATATGTGTGCAAGCCTGCTTATGAGGTTAAATACACAGTAGTGATGGGAAGCTCAGAACACAAACTGGATATTTTGTAACAATCTACCCAAGTTTGGACTTAACGTATCAAAAATATGTAGTCCTCAATCATAATTTCAGTCAGTTAAAACATCACCATGATCTGAAAAGCTTCTTACAATTACGTTTTTAAAAACAAAAATGGAAAAAAACATTGGAAATGTATGGAAATTAATAAGACCAGAAGTCTTAAGCCACAACATTCCATTGCTGTGCCCGCTTGTACGTCATGAATAAGGTCAAAAACTTTTTTTTTTACATTCTGGGAGCAAAATTTACATATAATCAACCCCAAGTTCTGACTTAAAGATACTTTTATTCAACCATAAGTTTTTTGACCGGATGGAAATGACACAGGCTTCTTCCCAAAGATAAAAAGACGATGTACAAGAGGATGAAAAATATTTCTCAGCTTTTATTTTACATTGAACAAAAACTTTAGGTCAGAATTTGCCAAGGGTATGAATGACTGTATGTGAAAACCTGTCCAGTTTTGTCTAAAATATGTCTTAGACCACCTTCTGAAGTAGTTTGAAGGTCATATTTATTTTTGTCTCGAATGAGTTTCCATGAGGGAGTTTATACCATTTATACCTGTCGTTTTCCTAATCGAATAGCTGTTTGAAAAAATGCATGAAGTGACCAGGTGTAAACAGCCCATGAGAGTCTCACCTTCCTTAGCCGTTGAGCCCCAGAGCCTGAGCGAATGGCCTCCAGAAGAGCCTCCCTGGCCGCCTCTGGGTTTCCTCCTGGAGGCAGCACTACAGGAGGTTTGGCTGGAGCTAAAGGTGGAGGAGGTGGGGGAGGAGGACTAAAGGAAGGAGGTAGAGGTGGCACAAAATCAGGAGATGTGGGACGAGGTGAGATGACTTCTGTGTGGACATTTCTGTCTTCTTCCACCTTCCTGAGCTGCTCCAACTCCTTTGATGCTACTGATTTGGTCTAAAAGCACAAAGATATGACATTAGGGTGGGCGATATGACAAAAAAAATATTTTTCAGGTATGTTAGGTATATTCAGCAGTAGCATTTGAAAAATATTATGAACAAATATAAAATAGGCCTAAATGTTTTGCTGTGTTATTAATTTAAAAGGGATCGTTGACCAAAAAAATAAAAGCTCTAACATCATTTACTCACTATACATAATTTATTTACGATTCTTTGTGATGTTGGTTTTAAAATTTTGTCTAAGCAGTACAGCCCAATGAATTTTCTTATTTTAAAAACAAAAAAACTAACAGATAAAATAAAAAGTAAAATTACATTTAAGTAAAATAATTTTTTTTAATTAGAAAGATTCAAATACACATTATATATATATATATATATATATATATATATATATATATATATATATATATATATATATATATAAATGTCAACATTTATTTTTCAGGTACAGTACGTATATTTAGGATTAGCATTTAAAAATGCAATGAACTAATATAAAATTGGCCTAAATGTTTAGCTGTTTTGTTACCATAAAAAGGGATCGTTGACCCAAAAATGTTAATTCTGTCAACATTTACTCACGCTCATGTTGTCTTAAACCATTCTGCTGTTAAACATTTGTGTGCCAGCCAGCAACTGTTTGGTCACTCACATTCAGTATGGCTTAAATAGTGTTCAGAGATTAATACAGATTTGGGAAATCTTCAGAGCGAACAATTATTCGAGTTATTGCGACAATTTAGTCAAGTCTATTAGCCAGCAGTCACTTTAAAACTAGTACACAATCGCATATTCAATTTTTTCAGTTTACTTTCACCAACTGTGTTTATATGCAAATCTTTTTAACAGTTTTCATGTGATCAGACATGAAAAATAGCCTAGTCCTATAATTGGATGCTGTTTGAATGGCTCTGTAGTGTGCATGTGTATATATCGATTTTCATGTGTTCCGTCATCATGAATAAGCGCACGTCCCATGAGTGAAACCAATGAGTTAACATTTGATGTCAATGTATGTCATGTGCAAAAGTAAATGTAGCTATTTCTAAGTCATCTTTTTAGTTCTGATAATGCGAGGCGCACCTGTGCTTTTTATGTTGCTAAGCAACCAATGTATCAGTGGTCTTGGTGCTGGAGTGCATGACATTGGGCATTTATTTGCACAGAGTTTACTAGGCATAGGTCGATAACCATTTTCAAGGTTTTAAAACCGCCAAAATTTTCTGTTATACTGTTCCTATAGTATATGTAATTTTTTTATTCACTTTTTTTGTTTAGTTTCAACAGTATCTCCAGCTGAAGACATACAAAGAAGTCGTTTTAAATTTTAAAGAAATCTGTAAAGAAATCTTTTTTTTTTAAACTATTGAAGACAGCAGAAGGCTGTTTTACTGCTCTAAATTATTTTAAATGTCTCCCAAATTAAAATGTATTCTGTTCAATGGGTAAAACGTTTTTGTTTTTTACACAGACATTTAAAAAGAATATATCTCAGAGCAGTCATCACAATAACGTGAAACTGTGATATTTTATTTTATAAGGATATCATATCGTCAGACTACTGTTTACTATTTTCCAACTGCAAGCGCACAGAGCACCCTGTCATATACACAGGGTGCAGCAGGCAATTAGAACCTGAAGCACCAAGGCAGCATAAACAGCTTGCTGCAAATGGAAAACTATTTCAAAATGCATTCATAGATTCAATGTTATTGTGGGTTAAAAGTGATATTGTGCTCAGTGAAATTTCACAGATAAAAATGCAGGTATCGCTATAGAAAATCATTGTAAAATCTGGAATTTAAGGTGAACGAATCCTGAAATTCTGCATTGGGTTCTATGAAGATAGAGAAGAAATTATGTGTTGGTGGATCATTTGTGCATCATTATGACAAGTGATCTATTTTTTCCAAAAGTGTTCCTGATATGACTGTGTGATAATTGTGCACATGCCTTATGCTATGTTCACACCAGACGCGGAACGCGCGGATAAATCACGCATAAATAGCCGCGTGAACATTTGAGGTTACTCGCTTCATTCGCTCGTCAAACCCCGCTTCATTCGCGCGTCAAATCCGCTTTATTCGCGCGTCAAATTCACTTCAGAACAGACGCGGATTCGCGTGATGGGCAGGGCTTCTGTCTGCCCAGTGACTCTAGCTTCATAGCTAAATGGCTAACATGGGTTTTATGAAGAAAATAATAGTGTTTATGTGCTTTATAAAGGCTGATAAACAGCATCGATCCGTTTAGGGCCGTGTCTTGAGTCCACTACATCCTTTCAGAGGTGCATTCAACTCTTTAAGCTCATAAACTCCTCCAGAAACTGAAACTGGATGACGGATGCTTTCAGCGGTGCTTCTGACTGAGCCCAGCCCAGTTTGATGAACTTCTTGTCGGTGTCGGCTTGAGGATTTCCTCTGGGACAACAGGCGATACGCCACAATCACGCCCCCACAAGAGCAAGCTCCTGACTGGTTCACGCGGCGCGAATGTGTGCTGAAGTTCAGATTTTCGAACTCGAGCGATTCGCGCAAAACATGCGTTAAGCACGTCAATCGTGCAAAATGCTCAATTCGCGCTGCACCATTCGCACGTATTGCGCCGCAGGATGTCTATTCGCGCGTTTGCTTGGACTTAACATGTAAATCACTCGCGCTTGACACGCGTTCCGCGTCTGGTGTGAACGCAGCATTAGGCATTACATGCTACATTACAAATTTACCTTCTTAAGTTTAGCTGAGGTGCTTGAAGCTCTTATTGCTGAAAGAAGTGCTGAACGCTCATTCTCTGGATCATTGTACGATGGCTTCTTAACTGTACAGCTGGTAGGCAAGTCGGACACCTGGGCAATATGAACAGCAAGGCATCAAATACTTTTACCATTCCCCAAAGTTTTGAAAATCTATTATAAAAGTCAGATAAATTTAAGCTCAAATTTACCTTTCTGAGGCGTTCAATGCCCTCTCCAGATTGAATGGCCTCCATCAGCGAGCTATGGATAGAAGTTTCCTGTTGGACAGGCTTAAAAATAACCGGCTTGAACTTCTTAACCGGCCCAAACACATTGCCCTGGTTTGGTTCAGATGGAATCTCAGATTTGTGTAACTCTGGCTTTTTTGCAAGTGGTGGGTGTGTGGTGTCTGTTGGCGTCTGTCGGGCAGAGGAGGTGTCTGGGAAATTATTGATTGATGTGGCTTCTTCAGAGAAGGATTTAATGTGAGCAGACACATGTGGGAAAGGCTGGATTTTGATACTTAAGGGTTGTGAATCCAGAGATTTGGTTCTGTCGCCCCCATGCAGAGTGCTTATCCTCTCAGAACTTGTCGGCTTTTCTGCAACATAACTTTGTAGGCATTTAGGTCTAAAAGAAGGCACTGGATTTTCAGTGGGTTTGACTGTGACAGCAGGTTTATGAATGCTTGTAGGTTTAACCTCATTATTTAACAGTTGATTGACAGGGTTTTGAACACCACTGATAGACAACGGTGCCGGCGTGGTATCGATCTTAGTTTTAGGAATGCTACTGTTTTTATTGTTTTTAGCAATGACAGAAGCTACATATTGGCTGGAGGTTCTTCTGGAAGGTATAAGAAACGAGAGGTCACGCTTTTCTGCATGATTCTCTGAGAAAGAAGGCTTACTTGCCACCCCAGATATGGGCTTCCTTTCCACTATAATGACCTCTTTGTGTGTTTCCTCGGGAGGTGAAAGTTTAAAGCTTCCAGTCACAGCCGAGGCCTTGAACACATCGGTATCTCCATTGTTTACGATGGGTTCTGTTTTGGCTGTAGTTGATTTCTCTTGCTTCTCTGTAGTGCTCCAGAAGGCTTTGGCTTTGACCAGTGGGGTTTTGTCTGCTCTAGTAGTATCCACACTGGGAGTGTTATTTTTCTCTGGACCAGAGGAAATCTGTCTCTGTGTAACCATGTTGCCCTGTTCATCAATCTTAATGGCACCTGTGACTAGAGAGCCTGCGGGCTTGGTCTGGGACACAGCTGGTTTCGGAGGGATGACTGTGAAGGTTTTCATTCCAAAGCGAGAGAAAGAGCTTAGGGTAATCTTACCCTGAGTTGGCAGGACTCTGGTACTAGACGTCCTTTCCTTTTGAACGCTTTGCACATCAGGACGCACAAAACTTTGGGACTTCTGTAATACAGTGTCTTTCTGACTCGTTAGTTCAACGGTTTCAGATTTACTCTTAGCCTCAGAGTTGAATGTGGTCTTCTGTTCCATATTATCCGTGATCTTAGCATCTTGTGAAGGCTTTTTGCTGGTCGGAGACTGGATGGTGGGTTTGTCAATAACAGTGAGTGTAGCCGTTTGTAACTGCTTCTCTATGTCTGGGAATGGGCTTCTGTGTTTCTCCTCTGTTAGACAGGCATTGTTGTTTTTGTTTTGGATAACTCCACACGGTGTGCACGGTTGGCTAGAGATGCTTTGAGTACTGCGCAACAATACTGACTCACACTCGCTTGCGCTGCACTGGTCATCATCAAGAACTTCATCAATGGCTGTTACTGGAATGTCCATGTCAACAATGGACACGGGTATTTCATCATCCACAAATACAGACGCTCCATCTGAGTGATTCATGTCTAATATACAGGAGAAACATAGTTACAGACAAAATTAGTCATTTATTGGTCTTTAAGGAGTTCACATGCACAGTGTGACAACTACATTGCTAGTATGTACTTTACTGAAGTATTTCCTCACAATTTATAGGATGGATAACTAGTTTAAAACAAAAAAAACAGGAAGATTTCGAAAGGGTTATGAAATGCATAAGTACATTTAGCTTCACGGAGGGCAATGTTAGTCACTTTAAGTTTCAAGTTGCAGTGAGTAATATTGACTGCTACAATAGCAGCTGAACTAGCTAGAGCACCTTTAGAGGTCAGAGGAGTGAGGTTTACCTGCATAGCACTTTACTAGGTGGCCTCCAGATACACTCACCACCCTAAACCTCACTCACATCCCGGACGAGCCCCCAAGTGTAACCCACCGGTCTTACTGCACCAAACCCAGTCTGAGCTGGGATTGACCCAGCAATTCTTTGTATGGAAGTCGATTGCTCTACCAAGGAGGCTAAAGACTATAGCCTCTAGGGTCTTTTCTAGAGCAACTTTCGAGGTCAGAGAAGTGAGGTTTATCTGCATAGTACTTTGCTAGCTGGCTTCCTTTACACTCACCTACGCTAAACCTCACACATATCCCGGACGAGCCCCCAAGTGTAACCCACCGGTCTTACTGCACCCAAGCCCACCTGAGCAAGGATCGAATTAGCGATTCTTTGTATAGTAGTCGATTGCTCTAACAAGGAGGCTTAAAGACCATGGCCTTTAGGGTCTGTTGCTAGAGCAACTTTAGAGGTCAGTGGAGTGAGATTTACCTGCATAGAACTTTGCTAGCTGGTTTCCGTTACACTTACCCACCCTAAACCTCACTCACATACCGGACGAGCCCCCAAGTGTAACCCACTGATCTTACTGCACCCAAACCTGTCTGGGCTGGGATCGAACCTGCAACTCTTTGTATGGGTGTCGGTTGCTCTAACAAGAAGGCTAAAGACCATGGCCTCTGGGGTCTGTCGCTAGAGCAACTTTAAAGGTCAGATGAGTGAGGTTTACCTACATAGAACTTTGCTAGCTGGGTTCCGTTACACTTACCCTCCTAAACCTCACTCACATCCCGGACGAGCCCCCAAATGTAACCCACCAGTCTTACTGCACCCAACCCTCTCTCTGCATAAGATTCGGTTGCTCTAACAAGGAGGCTTAAAGACCATGGCCAGAGTGAGGTTTATCTGCATAACACTTCGCTAGCTGTCCTCCATTACACTTACAAACATGAGGATTAATAAACTTTCCACAGTTCTGTCCATATTTGACCCATTGCTTTAATATGCTGTTTCCACCAACCAGATTGCATTGCACATTGTGTGCTACCTAAGTGTGTTTTCTAAATCTCTGCAAACATTCATGTAGCATGTGTTTTATGCTTAGTAAAATTATGTAGCTTTTCCACAGCACAATTTTAGCCCTGATTTTTAATCGCTGACAAATTTTGTGAAATCAGCAACAAATGTGTAAAATCAGAGACAAATCTAAGCTTGTTCATGAGAGCAAACATCACGCAGTCTGAACTATCATCAAAGACATGATCTGAGAGAATAACTGAGATTTCAACGATGCCTGTAAAATATGTGGCATGCTTAATTTCTGGAGCTGTCTGTGATCAAAATCAAGCTGTGTGAATTGAGTTCTGGCCGAAAACACATCAGCGATTACCTACAGCCAATGAGAGAGCAAGATACAGGGCAGTTCAGGGAGGACTTATAGAGCGCAGTCTCAGAGTAAATAAACTTTACGATAATATTAAACAGAAACAAAGCAGAAACTGATCCAATGTTACCCCAGAGAGTCATGCAGTGTGAAAACAATTGTTATCTGACAACTTTGAAGATAGCACAGTGTGAACTCAACATAACCCTTATAAAGTATTAACTGGGAAGCACAGTTGAGTGATTGAAATGTTATAATTAACTTAACAATGAGTTATTTACCAGCCAGATTTGCATCTAAGTCGGCCAGGGTGAGGTGGATCTGAGCTGTAATCTCTGGATCTTCTTCATATCCATTTTGTCTCTTAATTGACTTTTGTCCATCCTGAATATGTCCACTGCTGAAAAATCAGATTATTAGTAAAATAAGTGTTTTGTCAAGTTATTACATTTGTTTAGCCTTACAGTCCCACAAACAAGACTTGTAAATGCATATTATCAACTGGAAAAAAAAGAGTCAAATAAAAACGCAACACTTTTCCATTTTTCATGAGCTGAACTCAAAGAGCTAAAACGTTTTTTATTTACACAAAAGGCTTATTTCTCTTAACCGAAAGCCCTATTTGGACAAAACTGTTTGTACTGGGGACATCAGAGAATTATTTTTTTTGTTTCACAATAATTTTAATCCAGTTTTTTTTTTCTCAGATGATCACTATAAAAATTCCAGATTAAAATACCTACTGTTTTTCAGCAAACAGTCCTATAAGAAATCTAATCCCGTTCGATGCGAGTGTCTGCGAATTCCGAAAAAGTTTTTTCTTGTATATTTTGGTGAACCACCATACAATCTCTAGTGCACGTGTATTCAGGTTTTTGCTTTCTGCGCACCAATAATTGATGTAGATGTGTTTGCTACCATGTTATGAAAAAAAATAAAAATATTTAAACCAGCAAGAAGTGCTAAATCACAAAAAATTGTTAAGACTAATTACAGTAATATCAGTTTCAGGCTGTTTCATTAATGCAGTTAACTACATAACGTGAACATTCTATAAGTTAAAACATATTTATTCCAATGGGCTTATTTTAAGAGGTTCTACAATAAACTGTAGTTAAATGTATATTAAGTTTATATATATATTTATTTACAAATATATACAATTGATGATAGATTTATTAGCCCCCCTTAATTATTAGCCCCCGTTTATTTTTTTTTCCCCAATTTCTCTTTAACAGAGAGAACATTTCAACACATTTCTTAACATAAGTTTTAATAATTCATCTCTAATAACATCTCTAATAATTTATTTTATCTTTGCCATGATGACAGTAAGTAATATTTTACTGGATATTTTTCAAGACACTTCTATACAGCTTAAAGTGACATTTTAAGGCTTAACTAGGTTAATTAGGTTAACTAGGCAGGTTAGAGTAATTAGGCAAGTTATTGTAAAATGATGGTTTGTTCTGTAGACTATCAAAAAATATATAGCTTAAAGGGGCTACTAATTTGTCCTTAAAAATGGTGTTTAAAAATTAGAGAACTGCTTTTATTCTAGCCAAAAAAAAAAAAGTAAATTAATTTAAAAATACTTTCTCCAGAAGAAAAAATATTATCGATTATCGGCCATACTTTGTAAATTTCCTCTCTGTTAAACATCATTTGGGAAATATTTTAAAAAGAAAAAAAAATCAATTGGGGGCTAATAATTCTGATTTCAACTGTATATAATTTTATTTAAAAAAAAATAATTAAGCAGGTGGCTCAGTGGTTTACACTGTCACCTCACAGCAAGAAAGTCGCTGGTTCGAGTCTTGGCTGGGCCAGTTGGCATTTCTTTTTGGAGTTTGCATGTTCTCCACGTGTTGGGCTGGGTTTCCTCCTGGGTTTCCCCAACAGCTATAGGTGAATTAAATAAACCCAATTGGTCTTAGTGTATGAGTGTGTGTGTGTGTATACGAGAGTGTGTGGGTGTTTCCCAATACTCTGTTGCGGCTGGAAGGGCATCCGCTGCATAAAACATATGCCAATAGATGGCGAAGGCAAAGGAAATTAAAAATTAATTTAAATTTAAACTTTAAACAAGTCAGGGTGTTTTTCTTTATATATAAATGTAAATCTACTTTTCAAAATACATTTGAGCAAATTTTATAAATTGTGTTTATTTGCAGTTTTTCAATTATATTCCTAAAGTCTACTTTTATATATCCTGAACATGTGGGTTTTGTGCAACACACACAGAACCTTCTACCTCCGTAATAGACACAAAATGTTAGTCCTGTCCGAATTCATACATGAAATGACTGACACTGAAAGTTGTATGAAAATCATTGCAAAACCTCTTTGAAAAGCTAGTCCCATAAGAAAAAGGTTCAACTCTGTGTTAGTGAGTTTGTGAGAAATAGGCCTTTTGTGTCCATTAAAAAAAGTTTCAGATCTTTGAGTTTAGCTCATGAAAAATGGGAACAAACACAAATGTGTTGCGTTTATATTGTTGTTAATAATATAACTACTCTATCTTCTATTCTGAAACCAACCCTAAGCTCTCTTAGTTTGCACTTGGCAAAATACACCGCTATTATTTAAATACATTCACCAGGCAGTGCAAAACAATTGGGTGAGGTGTAAAGACAAGAACACAAGCCTAAAAAAAGTGTTTCAACACCCTTAGAAGAGGCTGCTTTAAAAGATGACTGGGTGGAAAATCTAATAGCTCTTTCCTGGAAAAAAAAAAAAAAAGCAAGAAAAGACAGTATGGAGTCGTAGATTGGAGACAGAACTGGAGAAATGAGCTGGAGGTGAGGCTGCAGGCTTTGGCAGAGACTCTGCACACATACATCTGGATATCAGTCAGCACTTTCAGCTCTATAAAGCTAAGTTTTAAAAAGCCAGGCTCCTCACTCGGCCCTAGAGAAACATCGGCTGGCTGAAAATGGATGAATGTGAGACTGGCTGAACGGTGGGAATGAATTGATGGTGGTAAACAGAGTGAATGAGAGAGATAAATTGTCTGATCCGTCTCCACTCTGCCTGGAAAAGCTTTTGATTCCTGTCCAGTAAAGAAACAGAGGTCTTATAAACAGACTGGTTTTATGGAGTTATGTGGATAGATTTTGTGGTAAAGGTGTGGTGAATACTGTATAAAATTACTTGTTTTACTTTTTAATTGTAAAATATGTGAAACTCTGATAGAATGATAATGATTCCACCTCAAGTATGTGGATTATAATATTTCAGAGCTCTGTTTTATTCTATTCCATTAGTCCTTGCTCTACCAGCCATAACCAGCATGGATTTCACCCTTATGAACTGTTGGGGATGTCTTAATCCACTCTGCAGTGATTTTAAGTCTAAATTTGGCTATAACTTTTTCTGTGTTCCAGCTAGAAGAAATGTTTTTGGTGACAAATCTTATTATTTTGAAACTTCAAAATTACACTCTGGGCAAATTTACTAGCCTTTTGTTATGTTCGGGATGAAAACATTTACTAAATTAAATTGCTGTAAAAATGAATCTGATTTTTTTCTCTTTTTTTGCATAAATTTGTTAATAAACTTCATTGCTCATCAAATATACTAAATTACTTAGATTTTAACTCTTTAATTTCCAAATTCATAAAAGATGTCACTGATTTGTTGAAAAAAAAAAAAACACAAAATGATCTATTTTCAATATGATAAAGTAATTGTTGACTGGATTTTTTTTTTTTTACCTTTTATCAAAAACTTGGACATGTGTAACAGCATTGCCTTTGATGCGTTGGTTTAGATCTTTTTTTTTTTTTATTCTTCTTTATGTACTGTTGGTGGCTGTTTTTGTCTCGTTCACTTCCATTGCAACCACATTTTTTGATTACAAAACCATGACACCATATAATAATGTATTTTTAATTGCTGGTGGTTTTCCTTGTTGGGAAAAGATAAAATTGGTAATTTAGACTGTTGATCATCATTTGACACCATTAACCTTTTCGATGTTTAAAAAAAAATTTAGTTTCTGAAAAAAGATAGTTTCTGAATTTTTTATTATTTTTATTATTTTACCAGGAATGTCCCATTGAGATACAATGTCTCTTCTACCAGTTAGTCCTGGTCAAGACAGGCAGCATAGGACAGAGTAAAAAAAATTATCACAACACATAGGGTTCTATTTTAACAATCTAGGTGCAAAGTCTAAAGCGTAGGGCGCAAAATCATTAAGAGCATATCCGAATCCACTTTTGCTATTTTAAGGACGAAAAAATATGCTCTGCGCTGTGGTGCATGTACTAACAGGGATGAAATTATTCTCTTAATGAGTTTTGGGAGTGTTTAAAGAATAAACCAGATTGTCATCCCTCATTCCCTTTAAGAGTCAGTTGCATCGCGCCATGGTGCATTTGCTGTTTACATGGTGGACTTTGTAAGTGGAAAAGCTGAATGCTTCACAAGCAAGAAAAGAGTTAAACAGAGCATCTGCAGCACAAGGATAAAGAAAAAGGCCTTTACTTTTACTTACTCCTATTCGTGGATAAGGAAACATGTAGTACCACAGACATCCATCCGCCTACATAATTAATTTTGTTTGTTAAGCGCAAAGATTTGTTTCAAAACTATTTATAAATTCAGTTCTAATTTCCAGCAAACGAATAAATGAACAATAATAACAAAGTGTGGAGTTATCCAAATACACGTCCTATGCCCCATATAGTCCAAAACAGGTGGAAAAATCTAAGCTTGTTTTTAATAAAACAAATATAAATATGAATATAATAAATAATACTGATAATAATAATAACATTATACAAAAGCAAATTGTCATGAATAAACCAAAAAAAAGCCCCCTGAGATGAAGTAGGCATAACGGCAGTGGTGTTTATATTTATGCAAAATTTTCATCCTTTAATTCTTTTTAATTTGTAAAATTATTTGCGCATTGCTCTACATCCTGTGTGTATTAAGCAATGTGTAAGTGAGGCGCACAACTAACACGCAAATAGATTTGACATTTAAAAATGTGTCGGAAAAAATGTGACCAATAGAGGTGATTGAAAAATAATAAAATAAGAAAGGTATGATGAAATTTCAATTAATAGCAGTTTGTAATACTATGTATTTTTTGGGTGTATGTTATAAAATGTAAATGTATAAATTGAATCAAACATATAATATGTCAAAGATGCCAAAAAGAATGAAATATGTCTCATGCAAAGCTCAAATGTCTCATGTAAAAAGAAGAGAGAAGTAAACAAAGAAATAAGTTTAATTAATAGACGAATAATGTGTGTGGTAATGGGGTGGGAAAAAATAATACGCTTGTGCTTCATCCCGCTCCATTATTTAACCATGTTGAAATATATTTTTTGTTACAGAATTTTTATGAATATTTCTGTTCAAAAATAAATAAATCAAATCAAAATCAAATCAAGGTACAAAGTTCCAGTCCACAATTACTTTTTTTTTTTTTTTTGTGTGTGTTTTTTTTTCACCAAATCAGTGACATTATTTGAGAATTTGGCAATTAAAGAGTTACAATCCTGTAATTTTTGTAGTTTTGATCAAGACTGAGGTTGATTAATGCAAAAAAGTTTGAAAAAAAAATTCATCTGATGCATTTTCACAGCGTTTTCAAGAATATACACTTAGCTCATGATTTATACAAATGTGGTCCCCGGAGAGAGAGCCCTGAGCTCAAGGGATCCTCGGGCCCAGGGCTCACTACCTTTCGCAGGGCGAGTGAAAATTGAGCTCAGGTTGATCTCATAACTCCCCCGCTGCTGAGGCTAAGGTGAACTTCCTGAGAGTTAGACATTTAGAAAAAAAAGATTTAGGCTTATTTTGTCTATTATATAGAGCATATTTGGACGGTGGTAGGAAACCAGGGAACGCGGGGGAAACCCAAGCGGACACGGGGAGAACATGAACTCTGCACAGATGCGCAGTTTATTTATAAACTAATTTAGAGAGGATCACGTGCTTATGATTGCTTGTGGCTGATCCTGCATTATCCAATTTATGATTCACCAATCAGATGTTTCCTAAGCCACTATAAATATCCTAAGTTCCATATAACAGCCATCTTCAATGAGAAGAATCCCTCCGTCTACTCCTACTCCTACTTTCCTGGGTAGCACGGTGGCCCAGTGGTTAGCACTGTTGCCTCACAAAAAGAACGTCACTGATTCTAGTCCTAATCAAGCAAGCCGACCTTTACACGTTCTCCCCGTGCTCACATGGGTTTCCCCCGAGTTCCCCGGTTTTCTCCCACCATCCAAAAACATGCAACTTATGTTAGTTGACTAATCCAAATCGGCACCATAGACATGCCCCTAGTAAGTAGTTATCTCTTAAGAGCAATCACTATCTGTTCATTAGCTACTACAGCAGGGGAGTTCTCAAAATCTACCTGAGCTCAAACTCCCCTCTTGCCTTGCAAACTGGAGGGAGCCCCGGACTCGAAGATCTCATGAGCTCAGGGCTCTCTCCCGGGACAGCATGCCAAACAAGCTTTATAATCAATCATCAGCTAAGTGTGACCTCTTGAAATACCCGATGGCCCAGCGACGACCTGCCGCCATTGGTATTCTTGCTGTCAGGCAACAGTGCTAGTCACTAGGCCACCGTGCCACCCATTCTGGATAAAGGTGGAAGAAGAGGAGGAGAGGGGTTTCTTCCAGACGAAGATAGTTGTAGAAAGGAAATAAGGATTTATATAGTGACTTGAGATCCTTTGATTGGAGGATCATGATTAGCTAATGTGGGCCAGCTGGGTCAATCATGAGCACATGCTCCTCTCAAAATTAGTTTAATATTAAACTTCACTTAATTTAGTGGATGTTTTCATCCTGAACATAACAAAATGGTAGTAAATTTAAACAGTGCACATGGGGTTAAATCTCAATGTTCACTTTTGTAGCACACTCGTTTTCATCTTTTTATTTGCAGACTTCACACAGGATAATGGTTCATGTTAACCAGTTCATATCAATTAATCATAAATAGCCAAATATCTATTCAGCCATAGTTTTATAGATTTAGAATATTTATAAACACCCCACAAGAAGTGTTTTCAATAAATGCATCTGCGGTTGACTGCAAATTTGCTTTCTGGTGTCTGGCCAGTTGCATAAACTGCTTAGACTAGTCTTACAAGTCAGTCATCTAGATATTTTATCTTGATCAAGATGTGAAATAACGTTTTTTAATCAGTTACAGTACAGAAAAGGGCAGCGTTTTGCAGTAAGCGCAAATAGTGATAAGATCTATTTACACTGCATGTCAAAACAGAACTATTTTCCCTTCAGTAAGCCAAGTTAGATGCTATTCACACTTAATGAAAAGGTATTTACACCTCAGAATTCAGGCTACACATTATGAAACATTATGCAGCATTACCACACCGTGTAAATGTGAATATTTGTCACATGGATGCCACCTTACTGGGACAATAAAGCCCTTCCTATACATACCTCTACACAACTCTAAACTCGATCCTATTAAATATTACACAAACACACACACACACACATATATATACAGTTAAAGTCAGTATTATTAGCCCCTTATGAATTTTTTTTCCTTTTTTAAATATTTCCCAAATGATGTTTAACAGATCAAGGAAATTTTCAAAGTATGTCTGATAATATTTTTTCGCTAACACTTTAGAATAACTATCCTTTATAACTAGTTAATAGTCCATTAATAAACTGTTAGTAAATGAGTTATAAATGACTTGTTAAATAAAAGTTAATAGTTTGTTAATTATTTATAACTGTACCTTATAGATAGCCAATAAATAACTTACAAGTCGTTAGTAAACAAGTTAGTATAAATTAGTAATAGATCATGAACAAGCTGTTAGTAAATTACTTACAAAATACTTGTTAAGTATCAGTTAATAATTTATATATGATATTGGGACGTTTTTCTAAAGTTGCAGCTATTCTTCATTTATTAACTGTTAGTAAATGAGGAATAGTTGCAATAATGTCCCAATAACACACAAGCCAATAACTAACACCTCAAACTTTACAGATTAGTTGTTCATAGTTTTTTTACCATCTAATAACACCAGTGAAACTTTGTAGAACTTTTCTAATAAAAAAGTATTTATTTAGTTTTTATGTTTAGCACAAAAGTGCCCAAACCTCATGGGTTTGTTTTCTGTTGTATACTGATGTTCTGTCATGTAATGACTCTGTGTTTCTATACAGAAAACACAATGTTCAACATTTCATCTGTGTTCTGAGTTTCTTTGGTAAAATACAGCACACAAAAGCTTATGAATGGAACAAGGTTAAGGTACAAAAATGGTATACTTTAAATATCCCATCAAATTTCTGTAGCTTGAACTTGTTCCATCCATTTGCTGTTCCACAAAGTTTCACTGGTATTAGATGGTTAACAAACTATGAAAAACTGATCTGTAAAGTTTGAGTTAATATATTAGGTAAGTGTTGGTTAACTGATACTTATCAAGTCTTTAGTAAGTAATTTACTAACAGCTTGTTCATGATCTATTACTAGTTTATTAGGTATAGTTATAAATCATTAAAATACAGTTACCAAGTCATTTACAACTTGTTAACTAACAGAGTGTAAGTTATCTGTTAGTTATCTATAAGGCACAGTTATAAATATTTAACAAACTATTAACTTTTATTTAACAAGTAATTTATAACTCATTAACTAACAGTTTATTATTGATCTATTAACTAGTTATAATGGATAGTTATTCTAAAGTGTTACCATTTTTTCTTCTGGAGAAAGTCTCATTTGTTTTATTTCGGCAAGAATAAAAACAGTTATTTAATTTATTATAAACCATTTTAGGGTCAAAATTATTAACCCATTTAAGTTTTTGTTTTTCAATAGTCAACAGAACAAACCATCGTTATATAATAACTTACCTAATTACTCTAACCTGCCTAGTTAACCTAATTACCCTGGTTAAGCCTTTAAATGTCACATTAAGCTGTATAGAAGTGTCTTGAAAAATATCGAGTCAAATATTATTTACTGTCATCATGGCAAAGAGAAAATAAATAAGTTGTTAGAAATGAGTTACTAAAACTATTAAGTTTAGAATTGTGTTGAGAAAATCTGCTCTCTGTTAAACAGAAATTGGGGGGAAAAATAAACAGAGGGTCTAATAATTCAGGGGGGCTAATAATTCTGACTTCAACTGTATAAGTATATAGAAATGCCAACATGCAGAGCAGTGTGGCCAGAAGCTTCTGTTTTGGCTGGCTAGAATAAGCATGTACATGTGCATACCTCTGTCTAGAGCCCCAAGTTGCACATCCCTCATCGCTATCGCTGGAAGACTCTTTAGACTGCTTCACAGGCAGAGTTGAGTCACTGTTTAGAGACATGATGTCCATGGGTGACACAGATTGCATTCTTTCAGAGGGAGAGACCGGGCCGGACTCCTCTGCCATGTCCTCTGATGCGGCATATCCATGGTCTGCAAAACTCTCGCTGCTGGCCACAGACACTGTTTCCACTTCCTGCTGTACTCTCCTTTCTAACACAGACTCGTGAGCTGAATGTAGCCAAGCTGAAACAGGAAAATAAATGTTACTGTCACTGATGCAATAATGCAGAGTTCATGGGTCACTACTGTTCATGGGTCAATTATGTAACATGCTTCATCAAGTCAAAAGAAACATATTATGCACTATCATGCACTTTCTTTTAATAGACACATGCAAGACTGCAAACCTCTACAGGCATGCTCACATTAAACTGATTTATCCACCTGAGATCAATTTTGGAAGTAAAGACAGGGGAGAATATCTAATTGGGGTGCCAATGGGATAGTTAGGAATTGTTTTTTAGTTATTAGAGGACAGTAAGGTCTGACTTTGCTTAGACAAAAGTCTTGTCACGTAACAGAAATAATGTACAGTATAAAATATAAAGTCATGGTGCAGCAGAAAAAAATACTTAATATTGAGTATAACTCACATGAGCTTGAAAGACTGCATCCTGTCATGATCACCAGCGATCTAACAACTAGAGATCGCAGGTAAACACTCACATTCACATGAACTACAAATCTGAAGGTTAATGGACTACAGATCCCAGTCATACAACACACATTCACCTGCTCCAAGTCACCATTGATTAGACACTCACAGCTGAAGCTGCTTTTGCACTGATTACTGCACTATAAATACAGCACACTAACACACGGTTGTTCCTGAGTCTTGTTATCTGTTCTAGTGACATTACAACACGTTTTCTTTGTCTTGCTTTACCATGTTTTTGATCCTTGCCATTTTATTTGTTTAATCCTGTTTGCTGCCTGCCTCTGACCGTCTGCCTGCCTATTGACTACGATTCTGGATTGCTTGCATACATCTGTTTGCCCCTGTGTTGACCATTGCTGGCCTGACCTCGCCAATGAACCTGCATGTGGATCCGCATCCCTGTTGATTACACATCCATACATCTCTGCAATGACTCAAATAACTTAATGAAGTCATCTGGAATGGCAAAGAAAGCGTTCTTGCAGGACTTCCAGAGTTCATCAAGATTCTTTGGATTTGTCTTCTTCATCTTTGTATTTGTGGTTTTATGATTGGGATGCAGTTCAACAGATGATTCATCGGAAAAATCCACCTTCTGCCACTTTTCCAAATGATCAACTAGAAGTCAAATTATTATTTGTTGCTCTTACATCTGGGATCGATGACAAGACTTTTTGTCAGGTAGTGTGAATGTCATCTGAACGCAGAATAAATGAACTTTGCATTGATGTATGGTTTGTCAGGATGGACTGTTTTGGCTTATTTGAAGATCTGAAATCTGAGGGTTTAAAAAAATAAATACTTAGAAAACTTTTAAAGTAAGCTTTTAAAGTTTTCTCAATTAAGTGCTTAGCAATGCACATTGCTAATAAGAAATGTTGATATAGTTATAGTAGAAAATGTACAATATATCTGCATGGAAAAGTATTTTAACATCAAATTTGATAGATTTCTTCAAAGAATCACTTATTTTGACCCTTACAATGTATTTTTGGCTATTTTCAAAATATCTCTATGCAACATAAGTCTGTTTTCTTGTGGTCCAGTGTCACATATGTGCCAAAAATAATTGATAATTTAACCAAAATGTTTTAATTCAGAGCATAAACTGGACATGAATTCTATGTCAATGCTTGTTGAGGAGAAATGTGCTTTAAGTTCATTCATTCATTTTCTTTTCGGCTTAGTCCCTTTATTAATCCGGGGTCACCACAGCAGAATGAACCGCCAACTTGTCCAGCAAGTTTTTTACGCAGCAGATGCCCTTCCAGCCACAACCCATCTCTGGGAAACATCCACACACAGATTCACACACACACTCATACACTACGGACAATTTTAGCCTACCCAATTCACCTGTACCACGACTGTGGGGGGAAACCGGAGCACCCAGAGGAAACCCACGCGAAGGCAGGGAGAACATGCAAACTCCACACAGAAACGGCAACTGAGCCAGCAACCCAGCGACCTTCTTGCTGTGAGGTGACAGCACTAACTACTGCGCCACTGCTTCATCGGTGCTTTAAGTTTTTCACGTTTATTTTTTCCTGGTTCACAATAAAAATTATAAGGAAAAAAAGCCATACAGTGCATCCGGAAAGTATTCATAGTGCCTCACTTTTTCCACATTTATGTTACAGCCTCATTCCAAAATTTATAAAATTCATCTAGTTCATCAAAATTCTTCACACAATACCCCATAATGACAATTGAATCAATCCTATTAAACATCTCTGGAGAGATCTGAAAATGGCTGTACATTGTCGCTTCCCATCCAACCTGACGGAGCTTAAGAGATACTGCAAAGAGGAATGGACAAAAATTCCCAAAGACAGGTGTGCCAAGCTTGTGACATCATACTCAAAAAGACGTGAGGCTGTAAGTGCAGCCAAAGCGTGCATCAACAAACTATTGAGCAAGGCTGTGAATAATTATGTACATGCGATCTTTCAGGTTTTTTTTATTTTTTTATGAATTTACAACAATTTCAAAAACTCTTTTTTTACATTGCCATTATAGGGTATTATGTATAGAATTTTGAGGAAATAAATAAATTTAATCCATTTTGAAATAAGGTGGTAAAATAAAAAATGTGGAAAAGGTGAAGCTATGAATACTTTCTGGATGCATGAATAATCCAATCAGAATCATTTAGAATATCCTAATATCTTAACAACACAAAGCTAAAGTAATTTAGCAGCTCTTTTAAACCTAAACAGAATTTTCTCTATGTCTTGTAAATGAAAAATGAGATGGTGAATAAAATCAAATGGAATGTGGGTCATGGATAAAAGCCAAACATAACAAACCCAACATAACTCACTTTGTTCTGGAGAAACCACTTGTGCAAATATGTGTCCCAACACCATCCCATTCTTCATACTGCTCTCTATCTGTCTCTTTCTGCTCACTGATTTATCTCTCATTTTCTAAACTTTAAAATCCCTCACACAATAATCTGATACTACAATAAATGCATGTGCCCTTTTCAAGATATTCAAACAGAGAAAACCGAGGAAAGGAAGGGTTTTAACAGAGGAACCTCTGGATGAACTCTAGGAGTGAATGTGCGTGTATGTGTTCAGGTTTGGTAGTCAAGTTCAAGAGAGGCCTGTTCTGTTCCTGGATTCACTGTGACTCAGCTCTCTTTCCCAACCCTTTCCCAGCAGAGCTCATATATACGCCAGCTGCAACCACAGAGAGAGTTCACGTGCATGCGCGCACACACTCACTATCGATTAGTGGCACATGTCACCATGTGTCATGAGTAAACAGTGTCACTTCTGCAAAATTAGACTGAAATCCAAGCCACACCACTAATTCTGATATTGTTAACATCTTGATTACATACACACCCATGCAGACATCTCACCAACACATCAAAGTGCACAATAAAACAAACAACCTTACTTTGTGGCAAACCGCACAAGGAGATCTTTCCAGGTGACAAATCATAGCGGTGTCCCGCGGTAGTCGATCTTTGGTGTATTTCCAAACCAATCTGGCATCAGGTGCATACTTGCAACAGGAGCCATAAGAGATTTTTAATTAAAAATTCCTAAGAAATTAATAGCACTAAGTAATGGCTTATAACATAACTGTAGTTATGTAACGTCCCGCAGTGAGGACTCCTACTGACAACGGAGTTCAAGAAAATCCTTACAAATCATAATCAGAATGATAATCCATAGCCAGATAGCCATTTAGACATTGCTTTAGACTTTACACCAATAATAATACATTTAAAAGTTTCAATGCTTTCAATGATTGCATCCACATTTGATTGCATTTCTGGTCTTGGGCCAGTTGCATAAACTGCTTCAACTAGTCTTACAAGTCGAGAAGTTTTTATCTTTAAGACTGGTCATAACATTTTAAAGTCATAAAAAAATAGCTGTAGTCATTGGATGTAACCTCCTGGATTGAGGACTCCCACTGACAAGATTTTTAAAAAAGTCCTTTCAGATCTACAATATTCAAAATGAGCATTAGGTTTAAGCTATATTTTTGGCTATATTTACCCTTATCCTGACCTTAACTCTTTTTAACAATCAAAAGGCACGGTCTAAAGCAGGGGTGGGCAAACCCAGTCCTGGAGGGCCGGTGTCCTGCACAATTTAGCTCCAACTCTAATCACACACACCTGCTTATAGATTTCTAGTGATCTTAAAGACACTGATTAGCATGTTCAGGTGTGTTTGATTAGTCTTGCAGCTAAACTGTGCAGGCCACCGGCCCTCCAGCACCGAGATTGCCCACCCCTGGTCTAAAGCATATGGCGCAGGTGCACTTGTGTTTAAATCCAATCACTTGTAACAAAACTAAGTTTATTTTTTCGGTTTAGCACTAAGGAAATATTCTAAAAATGTTGGAAACCAATAGCTGCTAATATCCATTGTATTTATTTTTATTTCCAACTATAAATAGAAACGTGAAGGTTTGGGACCACTTGCTGGGTGAGTACAGTAAATATATAGATTGTTTTTACTGTAAAATACAAAAATTTTTAAAATACAAAAATTTTTTTTTGTTTTGGGTGAACTATCTTTTTAATATACATGGCAATGTGTAGTTGACCATTATAAATGCTGAACTAAGGGCCTAGTCACACTATGCTATCCGAACCGTGCCCAGGCCCGTTTCCCGGATCCTTTGAGAAGTGTGAGTGCGCTGAATCAGGCTCAGGCATGGTTCACTTGGCCGGCCCTGGCCCGGTTGGAAGAGGTGGGCCTGAGCGCGGTTCACTTGGGCTTTGTGCGGTACGTTTGTAGTGTGAGTGCAAAACGCGCCAAAGCCCGAAACTGAAAGCGAGACGTGACTTTAAGGGACTGTTTCATATGGATTTATTAATCATTCTTACTGTTCAGTGAACACAAACTGCCGTAGTTTATTAAAGACGCAAACCCCTCACTGCACGACAGCTGCGCGCCTTCAGCAGATCTCCTCATTCCTGCAGCACGAGAGCTTTATGATTGTTTATGAGCGCCAAAAGTGGCGGATCTGTTCGGAGAAATATCTGACTGGG